GGGGAGAAGGTGCTCAACAAACAATTGCTGAGGGCATCGGTGCTGTTTCCGTAGCTACGGAGGGTACTCGTGGTTTGATTCCTCACAGCTGTGTCTGTTTCTCCCTGATTGAGCAGCGGAGTGGGAATTTTGCTGCTTCATTTCTTTAGCAATTAAAAAAATCGATTGCACTAAAGAGAAGACTAGAAGGGGGAAAAAATATTAGCAAACAATTGTAGCAAGAGGGAAAATTAATGAAAAAATTCAGAATGAGTGGTGCTGGTTTTTACTACCCAGCCTCCCCTGTTGTACCAGGGGTGAGTAAATTACACCACGTAGAACCTACGTATGCCTGAATTCATCCTTACCCACTGCTTTATGTGGAAGGGAAGGTGCTTCTTCAGAGGCTGTGGCTACTACATTTGGAGTGCCTTGTAATTTAGGGCATGCTTCCTGAAAATCAAGCTCATCTTTCAGGGATCTCTTGAGTCGTTTCTGAAAACTCATAAATTGGTCGGCTCCAAAGTTGTTGAAGGTATTGGTAGAAGTCTCATTGGCTTCATTTCACCCCTTCTTTCTCTGTGTAGGTGAGGCCAGAGTGAAACTGCACAGCACTGAAGAAAGGGAGGGAAGAGTCTTTTCTAATCCCTCCCTACTCCCCCTAGGTTGTAGCCCTTAGAGTAAGTGAGATAAAACAGCTTTACTGCTCTTTGCTTACATCTCATTTATGAAAAATATTTTGTTTCTGTGGAACCACAGCCTTTGTCCTAGCAGTGTTGTCCTGACAGTACTCACTGTGCAAGCCAATGCTGTTGTTACTTGCTGGGCACTTCCAGCCCCCATTTTATTCAGGCAACCTGAAAGATAGGCTGTGAAACCCAAATCTGAGAATGGTTTGTGTTGAAAGGGACCTCAAAGATTGTCTAGTTCCAACCCCCCTGCCATGGGCAGGGACACCCTCCACTAGACCAGGTTGCTCAAAGCCTCATCCAGCCTGGCCTTGAACACTTCCAGGGATGGGGCATCCACAGCTTCTCTGGGCAACCTGTTCCAGTGCCTCATCACCCTCTCCAGGAAGAATTTTTTCCTGATATCTAAATCTCCCCACTTTCAATTTGTACCCGTTACCCCTTGTCCTGTCACTACAGGCCCTTGTAAAAAGTCCTCTCCAGCTTCCTTGTAGCCCCTTCAGGTACTGGAAGGTGCTATAAGGTCTCCCCGGAGCCTTCTCTTCTCCAGGATGAACAAGCCCAATGCTCTCAGCCTGTCCCCAGGCTTTCTGGGCTGCCAGCGCACACTGCCGGCCCAGCTATATCCATCAGAGCTGTTTCTAGTGACGTATTCTCAAGCAAAAATGTTTTCTTGTGGATATAGGAAGAAACCCAGCTTTTCTGTGCACAAGTTAATCAACAGAGAGATTGGTTATTGCTTTCTGAGACATTCTTTTTTTTTTTTTTATGGGTAAAAGTTCAAGAGAACAGAAAACTAACATGTATGGGAGGCAAAGAAATCCTTAATTTTTCAGTTAGGCTTTTTTATTTCAATTAATAGTTTAACAAGTGCTTAAACTTCCCCGGCAGTTTAATCTGGAACACAGTTGAGAAGAAAAATATCTTCTATAACTTTACAAAAATAAAAGAATTTTTTTTAATCCTGCACTTCAAGCAAGCATACTCCATCTCAAGCAAGACAGACATTGTATCTTAAAATATGGACTTCTGTTCATAAAAAAGACATTCTACCCCAGGGCAGCAGGCACAATATGTAAACGGTATAGAAACAGAGCAGGAACATTTGTTTTGATTTTTCTGATCCCTTTTGTCCTTTTTTTAAAATAGAACCTGTTAAAACAATTTGCTGAAGAACTTCTTGAGTTTATCAGTTCTTCTGTCAGGTGGCTCCGTGAGTAGGGTATTACTGGCAGGGGGGGGGGGGGCGGGAATCTGTCACCTGTCCTGGCAACACTGGCAGTTACTGAAGATGCCAACATTAATTATTTTCATTTTTTAGACCTGCTGCATTTCAGTATTGTCCAAATCACTCAGTTTGTAGATCTACTGCTAATCCACTTGTGGCTTAACTTCTTTAGTGGCCAGGGCTGCCAGCACATGAGGTCAGGTTGGAGAAATAAAAGGAATGGAATATATTGTGTCACAAACGTGTATGGTGCTGTGCAGCAGTTAATTTAGTGCATGATGAAACCTGAAGATTGAGGAAGTTTAGCTCCTAGTTCTGTGCCTGTAGCCTAGGAGAAGCCTTCCAGTGAACGTGGATTGGCAAATAAGACTGTGCACTCTGAAGACTTACGTGTATCTTTGTCCAACTTGGCTTCTGTTGGCCGATAGAAAAATTAAAAGGAAATATATAGACACAAGGAGGGAAGCTGGTGCAGCTTATACAAAGAACCCAGATCATAAAGTTACATTTCTGGTCAACACTACAAATAAACCAGAGGAGCCGCAAGTCAGATTTCTGGCAATGCATTATGAAAGCCTTTTTCAAGTGCTTCCTTTTTAACTATCTCTAGGTGACAGAAAAAGTAGAAAAGCAGTTCTTGCACGATCGGTATGTTGCATCATGTGTTCATTCAGTGTGACAGTAAGCCCTGGAAAACCTACATCTTTGCAAGTCTCTAATTGAAGACACAGTTGAGACGCGAATGTGCTTTTTAGAGGTAAGAACTAGACGTGTCTTTCTCTTGAAACAGTTGTAGGATTTCTGACATTAACCAATTTACAGAAGAGCCACGAAGCACTAATCTAACAAATTGTAGATCATTGCCCCGATGAGTATAGAACATCACGGCTGTGGAGCCATTCCTTGGCTCCTGGCTTCAATCCTGCATCCCAAACACATGCAGATTTCAGCTGTGACCGAGCTGTGTGTGGCACCTGCATAGGGAAGGAACAAGGTCTTGACAGCTGCTAGCCATTGATGTTTTCCCAGAGATAGGACCACCTAATGTGGAAATGGGCAATGGTGTTGGAAGAAGCTTTTCTCGTGTGATGATCTGAGGAACATCACACCATGTGCATCCTCATAAATCAAAACTAACAGGAATTCACTCATGCCGCTGTGTCCTGAACAGAAGTCAGAAACAGCTAGTATTGAAAGGACTTGTTTAGCTACCTTGTAATAACTCAGTTGGAGATATGCTGGTGTAAATCTGCTGAATAAAAAACTCTAGCTAGAGAAAATCCAAACTCCTTCCTGGTTCCTGACTTCTCTGTCAGGGGCACTGTGCTTCCTCCTTGACCATCCAGTTACAATTGTGCTCCTTATGCCTCCCTACCTGCAAGTGATCCACAACTGGCTCTTCAAGTAGCTTTGACTGTGTGAAGCAGAAATGCTGATCAGAGCAGCTGTTGTTGATAGAGTTTGATTTGTCATGGGGAGTTGGCTTTTAGCTCCTTCCAGCAGAAGCTGGAGGAGGATCTGATACCAGGTGGATGGATGAACACTTTTTTTTGGCAACTACTGAGCCACCTTGAGCTCCGTTCCTGACTCCTAACGAGTTTTCTGTGACTTGTCACCTTTCTAAGGAAAAAATGTGCAAGATGGACCTGACCTGGCAGTGAACCTGTGATACTGTTCTTTCTCCCCTTCCTCCGGTTGTCTCAAAACCAGGTGAATCTGAGTAAATTCATGTCCAAGGCTGATATCAGCTTGGACAAACTGTCAAGATGGCACGGACTTTGAGGAGGTAGGGAACCTGAGCATAGCCACTGGCTGCGTGAATGACGTTTTCCTGCTGTCTTTGCTAGTAAGGTCCATGCTGTCATTATGCTTTTGCTCTAGCAAGACAGTATGGAGATTCACCTATGTAAAGCTGAAAGACCCTCATTCAAGACATACTTTTCCTATGATGCTGAAAGTAACACATTAAAGGCGCTTTTTCCACCACAGTACTGGACTGGGCAGCTAGAAGCTGCTAATATTGATGAAGAAACACTATGATCCTACTCCTTACGTTTCTTACACGGGTTCCTGTTCCTCCTGTGAGCCAAAACACGTGTATTTCAGTGAAAGCGACAGCACAAATGCTGCAAGGTTAAGCTGTGCCCTCAGCTCGTTCCCCATTAAAGCAGGGGAGCACGAGCATGGTTCATCTATGGATTTGCACTTCCTTGCTGGCCTTAAATCTGCCTCCAGAATCTGCTCTAGTTTGCATCGGTGCACACAAGGTTGTATTTCATAGAATCATTGAATCTTTTAGGTTGGAAAAGACCTTTAAGATCGAGTCCAACCGTTATCCTAACACTGCCAAGTCCACTACTAAACCTTGTTCACACATCTCTTAAATACCTCCAGGGATGGTGACTCAGCTGCTTCCCTGGGCAGCCTGTTCCAGTGCCTGACAGAAGTATTTGCCACCAGGGGAAATCCAAGGATTTCCAGGGCAGGCTCTTGTTGAAGCATGCTCTGCAGGGTTGTGCCTATCCACTTTCCCAGCAGTGTCTCCCCAAACCGATGCCAGTTTAAGTTCAGTGAAACCACGGTATGTGTTGGGACAGTCCAGCAAGGAGAAGAGGGGGTGGCAGCGTTTCTGCAGCTCGTCTTCCTCCCATCTCTCGGATGGGTGTGGGTCTGTTTCTGACTGCTTTCTTGCTTTACTAGGGGCCATAGTATGCTTGTTGAAACCCTTCACTTGTTCCTACATAAGATCACATCACTAAAAATGTGATGCTGAATAGGGTTGCAGAACTTGTTAGACCCCACTTGTTTCTTTACTTGTCCACCTGGCTGACACCAAATCCAAGGCACATATACTGTATGCGGAGCATGTAAGGCCTCAGGAATATGAAAACAGAAGTCCCTGCAGCTTTGTATTGGCAACCTACCTGTACTGTGTCCATCTGACAGAAAAATGCTGCTTCTTCTGTCTGGCTTTCAGGGGGCTTGGTTGTAACTACTCGCTAGATACAAAGGGAGGCCTCGAAGCAGTTACATAGCTATGGAAATTGAACCAGAAAATACTAACCCACTGGTTATTTTTACAACTTAATGGTTGTAAAGACAACTTAAATTACTTGGAATATCTTTTTAATTAGAGGTATCAACCGTTTAGTACTCTCTGAATGGAGGGCTGTTGATTTGCTGCTTCTTTTTGTGTTAGGAGCTGTGAGATGATGGCAAGATAAATCTTTGTGGATTTCCTCTTTATATACATATCTACATCAGAGCTGTGAAGTCGGAGGGGGAAGCCGCTATCGCAGGACTGGCGTGAGCCCTTCCCCAGAGATAAATTCTGATGAGAAACCCAGTGTTGGGGAGAAGAGTACCACAACGGTAAGATGGCAAAGACTTAACATTCACCCCAGCAGTTAAAAATAATAATAAAAGGAGACCCCCTCCCTCCCCCCAGAAGTCTGCAGTCCTAAAGTGCAATTTCTTTTGTGCAGTCATGTCAGGCCAGGGATCAGACTGGATGAAGTTCAAAGCACAAACATCAAACGAGTGCCGTTCGGGATTTGAGGAGGAGGGGGGAATTAAGGAAAAGAACAACAGTTCTCAGGCATTCAAGTGCATCAAGAAAATAAATGTCCCTTTCTTTTGGAAGAAAAACAACCCCCAGTCTGGTGGAATCCTGGCTTTGTAGTCATGAAAAATAAGTTTTTTTTCACTTTGAGCTGAGAATGTCCCAATATGACACAGTACAAATAAACACCACCAAAGCGAGAGCTGTGGTGCTGGGATATTTTTCTGGTGCCCTGCTGCTATACAGCCTTATTTTATTCTCCTCTGGTGACTCTTCAGCTCTGGGCACTGATGAAGCGCACTGAATTAAAGGCATCTGGTAGGAAGTGGCTCTCTTCTCCGGTCGGTCGGGGCTGGACCCATCGCTCGGTCTCTGGCCGTTGTACAGCAAGTACCTGCCCCGGGCATCCTGCTCCATTTTGAAGATTTCGTACTCGGTGTGAGGTAAGCGGATGCCGAGCGCGATGCAGCCGTTCGTGTGGGTGACGTCTTGCTGTACCCCGACTTGCCAGGACCCCTGCGCTCCGCACTCGTTTCCATTGAAGACGTTGAGCAGGGAGGCTGTGGATATATCCATGGGCGTGACCTTCATGTGGTTCACTGCGAGAGAGGAACAGAGGAGCTATCAGCAGAGGGACAAAACCAAAACAACCAACACGCGGGTTGGGCTGTACCTGTCAGATCAGAATTGTCTCTGCTTGCTCGTTCTTCAATCAGTTTTTCATACTGCAGGTGCAGCCAGCAAATCTATGTGCATCGTTTTACGTCTTTGACGTGATCTCGCACAGAACACGCACGCTCAGTTGATGAAAACATGATGGCCATGTATCTCAGCCAGAGATTAAGCAGAGCTTTTCATAAATTCCAGACAATCCTTTACAGATAAAGCCTGGTGGGTTATATTAGGAGATAGGTAAAAGAGGAAACAGTAAAACTTTACTCATGTTTTATTACCATCTCCATTAATTCATACGTAGGGCTGTTTATAATGTATTTTTCATCATTTTTTAACATCTGTTACCCTGTAAAGCTAAGGAAATAATTAGTTCCAATTGGAAAATTTGCAGAGCACCACAGCTGCACTATCTTCCTATGTTACCTGTCCTTTTTTGCATGAATTATAAAGTATTGCTGAACTACAGAGAGATGCTTTATCTCATATCTAAACTGGCTGCAGCTTGCAGTACCAAATGTGGAAGTGCTGCAGCTGCTGCAGTTCCAAGTTGCCTGTATTTCATAGGCACATGATGTTTTATTTTGAAGGCAAGTTTAAAATGTTGGGAAAAGCCAAACTGTGTGAGCCAATGGGAGCTGAATAGAGATTTTTACTGGTGTGCGTTTGACGCTGCGTATCAAGAGAAGGGGATCTGAATGGATCGATGCTGACCAAAACAGAAGCAAATGACCAACCCTCATACCTCTGAACACACCAAAACCCCAAATTCTTTTGCAGGTCATTTTATAGTATGATTTGTTGAGAGTTTTATTCTGAGGTTTTATAAACAGATATTTGACTCACTGACTCCACAGTTCACATCAATTGTCGAAGCTGGTGTAAAAGGCCATCTATACGAAGTTAACCTAAGAGGTTTACCAAAACCAAATTGGTGACCTTGATCTGTGAGGTAGGTTGGCATACCATAAACCAGAAATTCAAGCAAAAACTGGATTTTACCCCAGGAGTTGAGATGAGACATGCTGCATGCAGTTGTGAAGAGCAAAAGCTCTGACAGGCAAGGGTATCTCCTGCCTCCTGTGAAAATCTCAGATTAGTAAATTATTTCTTGTAGCTAGATGCTTTCCTAAATTGGAGCCATGCAAGAAGCTATATGCTTCTCACATGGTAACTAAGACAAGCAGGAAAAGAACCCACGGAGTGCTTGGGGCTTCCAGAGGCTCCGCTGGGGCTGGCGCCATGGCGGGACGTCATGTTTTGGAATGTTTGTTTGTGTGAGTGGTTAAAACCGCTGAGCTCTTTCTGAGCAGGGTGCTGTGGGGCTGTTTGCACAGGAAGGCTTCTCAGCCGCAGGGACCCGCGGTGGCATCGCCACCAAGTGCTGCTTCCCAGAGTGCTTCAGGGGTTTTGGTTACATACATCTTGCCTCTGCTGTGGTGGGATTAATCAGCGCTGTCTTTAGGGGCATCCTGCCTTGCTCTAGGGCTCCTTGGAAGCTGATGAGAAGACACATACTGCTGCTTGTATTGGGTTTGCATGGCAAAGTT